GAGACAGGTGTAAAGAGAGAGAGAAAGAGAATTACACGAACACTAGATAGAGAGCGAGTTAAAGAGAAAGACACAGATAGTGATAGACAGATGAAGAAAAAGAGACGGACAGGGACAGAGACATATAGGTAAAGAGAAAGAGAAACACACAGATGAAGGAAAAGATTTCAAATAATAGAGACAAGAGACAGATCGAAGAACTGTTATCATCCTGTCACATTATAATCGCCACTGCTCTTCGTCAGTATCAGTATTGCCATCATTATCACCATTAGCATTAATAGTAACCTCTTTGTTTCCAGGGTATGATACATATTCATGCCGTTTATCATTAGTTGTCTGTATTATGTACCGTCGTCTTATGGAGACGAATAATTATGGTATACTACTACTATTACTATTACAACTACAATTACACCTACTACAAAACTTCAGTAATAAGCACATTGATGATGTTAACAATAACAATGATTATAACAACTGTACTGATGATATTGATGATGGAAGATGATAATAATCATAATGAGGGCAATAATCACACTGATAATAATGATAACGGTAATAACAAAAGTAAGAATAAAGGCATATGCAGTAATAACAGTAATAATGATTGTAGTGATAACGGCAAAAAAATGACGATAAAATATAACAACCATAGCGACAACAGCAACAGTTATGATAAGATAATTACCATGGTGAATATCACCACAAGTATCATTGAGATTATTACATTATTTTTGTGCTATTTTTACTCTTCCTTGTTACAATTTCTTCGTGGAGGCTTGACAGGTAATCTATTGCGCATGTCAACAGCCCTTTTTTCCGCTTCCTGTATGTCCTTAGTTTAGCTGTCATTTTTTTTCCACAGTACGGTTAGTTTATGCCAAGTGTGTGGGCTGGTATGTGTTGCGCCTTGCCAGTACCCGTGTGCGCACCTGCTGGGGCCTGTGTCTAAAGTACTGTACGTTTTGTGTGTTTACAGAGGCTTGTGTGCGCATGTTTTGCTTAGCGGCATACCTTGACAGACAAGGTGTTGAAAGAGTGAAAGGGAGAGGCGGCTGGTAGAGTAAAAGTAAGAGTAAGAGTGAGAGTGAGAGTGAGAGTGAGAGTGAGAGTGAGAGTAAGAGTGAGAGAGAGAGTGAGAGGGAGAGGGAGAGTGAGAGTGGGAGTGGGAGTGGGAGTGAGAGTGAGAGAGAGGGAGAGTGAGAGGGAGAGTGGGAGTTGGAGTGAGAGTGAGAGTGTAAAACAACATTTAAACAATGGTTTCTAACCTTGTTGATAAGGAACAACTCCAATTCTCTTTATATGGCAAAACTACACGTTAATTGACTGTCGAAATTTGAACCGAGAACTTTAATCGAAATAATAGAAACATCCCGCTTCACTGTGTAGAGTGCAAACAAAATACACCCAAGATCCCGTGAAAATCCTTGGCAACCCGAAGACGCGCTGTCATGGAGGAACAGAGGGAGAGACAAGGGAGACCAGGCAATATCTATCTCTCCTAGCCCTCACGCCCCCCCCCCCCCCCCCCCCCCCCCCCCCCCCCCCCCGATAAGTAGTAAATCAGGACAAGGAAGACACGATACAAAGTCCTCAAGCAAATTTATGCATGACTTTCTGCTCGTTTGTGTACTGTAAGAGTACTTTTGACGTCACAGTTAAAATCGCCTTTCTTTGCGTTGGTTGAGAGACGTCTTGACATCAATTAGTTGCTTCAGATTTATATCTCTTCCCATTCTAACAGTTTTACTCCATCGTAATTCTCTTTCTTTGGAATGAGAGAGAGAGAGAGAGAGAGAGCGAGAGAGAGAGAGAGAGAGAGAGAGAGAGAGAAGAAGAGAGAGAGATGCTGAGAGAGAGAGAGAGAGAGAGAGAGAGAGAGAGAGAGAGAGTGAGGATAGAGTGAGAGAGAGTGAGAGTGAGAGTGGGTGATCGAGTGAGTGAGTAAGTGGGTGAGTGAGTGAGAGAAAGAGAGAGAAAGAGAGAGAGAGAGAGAGAGAGAGGAGAGAGAGAGAGAAGAGAGAGAGAGAGAGAGAGAGAGAGAAGAGAGAGAGAGAAGAGAGAGAGAGAGAGAGAGAGAGAGAGAGAGCGAGAGAGGGAGGGAGGGTGGGTGGATGGGAGGAAGGGGTAGACAGAGATAAAGTGTAAGGAATAATGAAAATATTTGTTCGCTATTTACCCCAAGGTCACACTAATGACGTAAAAAGACAAAATATTCAAAGAAAGAGAGAGAGAAAGAAAAAAAACCATCAGGCTTCTGCCATCAGCTCCCTCCCCGCCACCCCCTCACCCCATCCACCCTCCCCTTCTGCCTCCCCTCCCCCTCTCCCCCCTTACCCCCGCCCCCACATTCCTCAGTCGTCCACATGTCCGCCCGCCCGCCCATACCCTCCCCTCGTCGTGGGCGTTTCTGAGGCGACGAGAGCAGTAGACGACATGCTCTCGCCCGCCGGCCAGACAGCTCCTTTTTGATTGGGGGGAATTTTTTCGTTGACTTTTCTCGAGTGGTTTTAAGTGCGGCACGCGGTCTGCGGGGCGGGCCAGGATGCACTTGTGGAGACGCACGCACGCACACACTCACACACACACACACGTGAATAAGTGTAAACATATACAGGCACGTACACATGCGTATATGCATGCTCTCTGTTCCTGCCTCTCTCTCTCTCTCTCTCTCTCTCTCTCTCTCTCTCTCTCTCTCTCTCTCTCTCTCTCTCTCTCTCTCTCTCTCTCTTTCTCATCCTCTCTCTCACACACGCCCACGGACACCTCCCGTTCTCAGCCAAGCCAAACAGCGCTCTTGCTTAACAAACAAACACGCAAAATACACCGACAGAGGCCAGTATCTTGGGGTTACAAGCTATAAACACACACATCATTTGTTATAATAAACCTTGTTGCTGGCAATCACAGCTGGCTCTTTTTTCTCCCTCCCCCTCTTTCTCATTTATTAACCTCTTTCTCTTCTCCCCTTTCTTCTAGAATTCCTCTTCCACTTACCTTCATTCTTCGTTTTCTCTTCTCCCTTCTTTAACGCTCTAATATGAACAAAATCAACTTTGAATACAACATGTATAAGCTTCTTAGCGTAATTAATTCATGTATCTGTATTAATTAGCAGCCTAACATAATTTTATCTGTTAACTTCCTATCTCCCTATCCTCCTTTCCTACATAACCTATTCTCCTGTTAGTCATGTATCTTTATTCTCTCTATTTCCTCTTTATCCTTTCATTTTTCTCTCCCTTCTAACCTTCATATCTTGCTCTTCTCGTCTTCCTGTCTTTTCCTTTGTCCTCCCTTCCTCCCTATTTGTTCTTCCCTATTTTTCCTCTCCTCCTTCCCTCTCTTTGTCTCACTGTCGCCTCCTCTGTAATTGAGTAATTTTTGTCTCGTTGACGAGAAAAAGTATTTGGTGTGAGTGGTTTGTGTGTTGAACTCTTGACAGTAGTACAATGTGGACACATTCACATGGAGTGACACACACACACAAAGAGAGAGAGAGAGAGAACGTGTGAGAGAGAGAGAGAGAGAGAGAGAGAGAGAGAGAGAGAGAGAGAGAGAGAGAGAGAGAGAGAGAGAGAGAGAGAGAGAGAGAGAGAGAGAGAGAGATTGTTTTAGAATTATCATTATCATTATACCAATACTATTATCCTCTAATATCTGACAAGCAACAACTTTCACCTCGTGCCTTCCCTGTTAATTCATCGGTAATGACAATAAAGTCGTATTACCTCTTACAACATATCAACATAGAGAACCTAATACACAACGTAATCCTCAACATGCAGAGATGCTATACGAATATCAATAATTAAAAGTAAAAAAATTCAGTCACCGGTTTCGGGAGCCTCGTAGTGTCTCTGTACCTTATTCCGTTTGCCCCCCCCCCCCCCCTGCCCGTGTCTTTCTATCCTCACTTTTCTTGCTAAATCGGGGAGGTTGTGATATTTATTTATTGATAATGCTAATCGGCAATGATAAATGATCATCATGATAATGAAGTGCGATGCGATGAATCTTAATTTCTCTCTCTCCTTCTCTCTCTCTCTCTCTCTCTCTCTCTCTCTCTCTCTCTCTCTCTCTCTCTCTCTCCTTCTCTCTCTCTCTCTCTCTCTCTCTCTCTCTCTCTCTCTCTCTCTCGTCTCTCCTTCTCTCTCCTTCTCTCTCTCTCTCTCTCTCTCTCTCTCTCTCTCTCTCTCTCTCTCTCTCTCTCTCTCTCTCTCTCTCTCTCTCTCCTCTCTCTCTCTCTCTCTCTCTCTCTCTCTCTCTCTCTCTCTCTCTCTCTCTCTCTCTCTCCTTCTCTCTCTCTCTCTCTCTCTCTCTCTCTCTCTCTCTCTCTCTCTCTCTCTCTCTCTCTCTCCTTCTCTCTCTCTCTCTCTCCTTCTCTCTCTCTCTCTCTCTCTCTCTCTCTCTCTCTCTCTCTCTCTCTCTCTCTCTCTCTCTCTCTCTCTCTCTCCATCTCCCCCCCCCTCTCTCTCTTTCTCTCTCTCGCGCGCTCACTCGCTCATTCCTCCTTCCTCTCTCTTATTATTTTACCCTTTCTGCTCTCGAAGTGCAAGGCCGAAATGGAAAAGGCAATAAGGTTTTGGAAATATTATCAAAATATCAGGAGAGCAGACTCAAAGAAACTCTTATCGCCTTTCGTGATTAATTGAACTTTGGGTTTGTAATGTTTATATAAACAATGGGATGTTTTTATTAATAATTGGCGGCAGGTGGGTATGGCGGCTTACGTGCAGTTGCGAGAGTGAGAAAGAGCAGAGGTGGGGAGAAAAGTGAAGATAGAGAAGAGGATAGATAAACAGATAAATCGAACGAGATAGTTTGATGGAAGGAAAGAGGAGCAGATAGGCAGTCGGAGAGTAGAAAACAGAGAGAAAGAGGCAAGAAATAATGTAAAGAACGGAGGGTTAAAGTTTGAAAGAGGGTAAGATAAACAAAAGGGAATTCTGACCAAGAGCCGAACGTCCAAGGGACCGCAGAGTCGAGCTTAC